AGTAGAAAGAATGAAATATTTTACATTGTTGTATATTGAGATCTTAATTCCTTGCAAGTACTAACAGGTGCTCTTAACTTCACCTTGTCATTTATTAATTATAATATATGGCATCTTCCACTCTGATTTCCTCTTTCTTCTATTTTCTATAAAAGAGGTCATCCTGGGTGCTTACATTGATAATTTCAAGGATACAGAATGTATTTGGATGCACACCTCTACTTGAAATGAGCAGCAACTAAGTTGCTAATTTAATGGAGTGGTTCTGAAAAATTGCAGACTTACAGCTTATTTTTAACAAAGGAATTATTTCCTTTTAGTGAACAAATCATCTGTAATATGGAAAGCTGCATCACGTAAGCCAGTTCCTAGATACATCAATTCTCACCAGAAGCAAATCTAGCAGTTTCTTCTATGTTTCTTTGGTTAATAATGTGAATTAAGTTGCATTTGGTAAATAGAAAGATGTGCGTCTCAAAAGTTTTCCGACATCTCACTTAGAGTGTAATAAACTGCATGTTGTTTGCTAGCTTTGTGGCTCCTCTAAGTTTCTGATCATATGGTATAAGAAAAATCAATACCTCATTTCTCACATCAGCCAGATGGATAGGCCAGGCAAAGGCTTCAGCCAAGGCTTTGTGCCATTCTGACAGGGAAAAAACATGTTTTCCCTATTTCAGGCTCTACTGTTTACAAGCAGCTATTGACAGCTTTGTAGTACTTTCTCCAGGTAAGATCTATCATGGTAGAGCTTTAAAGTCTTGCTGGCTCTGCTGTATTTCTTACCCCGCCTCACTTGCCAAGTACAGTTATAAATTCTTAAAGTGGTTCTTACTTTTGCATGTGCTCACTAAATGTTGAGATTAACCAAAGAATAAAGGAGAGGTTCTAAATTTACAGTCAGCTTGACTTACGCTGATCCTCACAAAAAAGGTGTCATGAGATTTTGGATTACAAAAACCTGGCAACGACGCTTCCATGCCCTCTGATGAAATTAGTTTCCCTGTATGGCTGTATGGCACATATCTTTATATCTGTTGCAGAACAAGTTGGTGGAGAACAAGCTGGCAGTAGAAACCATGTGTTTTTCTGCTCTGTGTATGTCATGGAACACATTAAATTAATAGGTAATTTTTAATACCAGGATTAGGGAGAATACTAATATTGGTATAAAAAAAAATCTTCAAAGTTAGAAGAGAGCTGAAAAAATTTACATTTTGCAATGCACTCACTAATAAAAATAAAAACATTATTAGTGAAAGCATTGATTTTCTAGTTGTATGCACAATATATCATAACCACATCCAAAAAAGAGTATTAAAAGATAATTGGACCTTGCGATTGCCAAGTGAATCACTCATTGTATGGGAATGCCAAATAAGAATTATCCATTTAGCTCTGGTTGGCCATCCCACTCACAGTGCTTATTACACGTTATTTTTTTCCACAGAGAGACACTGCTTGGCAAAAAGCTACCGTATTCATTTGCCTGATTCATGCTCTCCTGTGAACCCTCTGTATTAACAGGGGCTGAGTGTACGAAGAGTCCTCGATGACAGTTTCTTCAAAGCTATGTCACTGCCTATGAGATGGTTGTGAAGTTGGCTTCAAGAAAGCTAGTGCTAGCATTTAGTGCATCTAAAGCACTATCAGTATAGCCTAATTCCCCTGTAATACAAGAAATTTAAAATTCAAATGCAGGTGCTCCATTTTCCGCTTGTCACCATCAGGAAAGCTACAGAGGCAGCTCAACTCACACGGGGAATTTGTGTGCAAATGCAGGCCCCTCATATACTGGTGGAAAGCGGCAGAATACAAACGAGATCTGTGCAACATTTTTATATTAAATCCTCTTAAAGTGCAGACCAGTTCAAGTTCTGTGATGAACCCAAAAGCTCAGTCTGGGTCTTCCCTGTGCTTTGCCACACCCAGTTCCTTCAGACCTCAGCATCTCTCGGGAAGCCAGTCCTGGTGCAGACCCAGAGTGACAACAGCCACCCCTGCGCTGAGTTTGGTTACTCTGGGGCCTCACTGACACGACCCTACACAGTGTTTTATCACGGTGCAACTCTGTAAGCTCAAGGGCTTGGCCTTTCATTTCCCCTTGAGTTTTCAGGTTCAAATTTTTAAACTGAAACCAGGAGGCTCAAACCTAAGGCAACGCTCATGTGAGTCTCAGAGAATCAAACCAGGAACAAACAACAACAAAGTCTTCCCTGATGCCTGCACAAAACTATGAAACATAGTGGGAGTGCATAAAGATTCTTAAATGGCTGAGAGGAAGCTATGGAAGCCAGGTTTTGGTCTGCAAAATTAAATATAGCGAGGCATGGATCCACTTTCCTTCCATTCATAACTTCTGAAGTGTAGCTGATTCAGACGACAGGTTCTGTTTTGGCTGATATAAATTGAAAGTTCAAAATCAATGACAACACACATCGACACAGGCAAAGACAGAATATAATGTTTCCTACTGTACTTTTTGAAGCTTACTTTTCTTAAAAGTATACTGTACTGTTGTGGAAATGGAATATAAGGATCATTTTGTCACAGACATCACAAAGTGCAAAGAAACAACTCATTTTTAGCTGATCTATCTTCATGACTGAATTTGGACTTAAGGAAAGAGCACAAACCATGACATAAAAGCAACGCTTCCTCCTTTTCTGGACAATTGCATGCTCAGATTGCACTTAAAATTCTCAGGGCATGTACAGATTGAGCTGAAATATTGGTTTGGTATAATGGTAGCATGGAGATCATAGCTATAAGCTATTTTTGTAAAGCATAAATCAGTGCCTGAGCCCCAAACCATGGGAGTCTAGCATTCAATTCATATATTATCACTAATTGTAATTTTTTACTTCACGATATATCATCACTCGTGCAAGTAGCTATAAGCTATTTTTTCCACCTGTAACCACACAACTTGTGTACAAGGCAATGACTGCTGAAAACTGCCAAGCATGAACAAAAGAGATTTTTTGCTATTGGTAATTCTGTGCCCAGTTGAGAAACTGTTCCTTTTCACTACAACCTGGGGCACTGAACAGTTCTTTCCCAAAGAGTTTAATTTTTAACAAGACAAGGCAAGCAGAGGCTCAGAGAATGAGATGCAGCAGCCAAAAATTGAGACTGAGTGACAGTTTGCAGTCAGCATGTTAATTCAAGGCTTTTTTTTTTTTCCTTAAAAAAGAAACACCTGAAAACACTATAAGCAAGGCTGGGGTACAGAGGCTGTGAGGGAGAATCTTGACAGCCTTGGAACAAGTGACTAATTAGTATGGAGGAGGAAAATCTTGAAGTTCAACCTGTTTCTGTGACTTGTTTCTTAAACTGTTGGTCGTCTTGATCAGTTAATTCTCAGCATTTCTCAGCATGTGCCCTCATCCTCAACCTGCAGCTGAGAACATTGCCTCTGGAATTGGGTTCTGCAGAACAGGTGCCAGCGCTTTCACTCGGGGCTCACAACTCATCGGTGGCTCACAGATGTCTGCTGGCATCCGCCGCAGACGTGATCCTCACTGCAGCCCTTGCTGTAGCTGTCTTCATCGCTGCTCCCCTGGCTGAAGATGTCTTTGTAATCTCCCATGCTGCATCTTTTTTCTTCCTTTCCCACATCTATGTGGGTCAGAGCATGGCACACCCATTCGGTCCGAGTGTCCAACAGCATTTGAGGTCTATCTTAGATCAGTCTTACAGAGTTTTGGGTTCTTTTTTTTGGAAGGAGTATGTCTTTCCCCTTAATATTATGACTGAGTTGCAACAGCTCCAGCTAGCTGGAATTGCTCTGATACGACAAAGAGGAGCTCAGGAGACAAAATGGGCTGAGCTTCATCTCAGCCCCTTGCCTTTAGCCATGTTCACCAAAGCCTCTAACATCACAATAAAATCTTGCCAGTTATCGTGCATTGGTGAACAAGACCCTGCTGGCTTCACCCAGACCTGCAAGACCTCGCTGCCCAGAGGAGTGGTGTGGTGGCTGCTCGCCTGCCCGCTGTCCTCAGATCTCACTGGCACTTGCTGTAGTCTTCTGGCCACTGCTCTATGCTGGCAGTATCAACCACTGCTAGTAGTTTGGCTGTGGGGGAGTTTGCACAGCTCCCTCTCGGTAACATGCCCGGATAGCAATAGCTAAAGTGGTAGTGAGGTGAGTGTGCACAGCAGGTGTGAACACAAAACACAAAACTGTGCATTCTGGAAAGGTGATGGCCCAAAACTGGTAACACCATGAGGAAAGGTGAAGTTTACTTGAGACAACCATCAGCTGAATTAAACAGTAGACAAGGGCTTACCCAGGAGATTTATGAGAGTACAAAAAGTCAGTCTGGAAAGAAATCTCAAGGAAGTGTGAGAAGTTGTGACCGGAGACAAGACCCAGGAGTGGGACAAGGGAAATTAGCAGCCACCAAAGCCAGATGGTGTGAGCTGCCGGATGGTGTGAGCAGCCTGCATGCAGCCAGCACGCTGATGTTGACGGGGTGTAGCACTGCAGGGTGTGGGGGGGCCTGTGGGGTGCGTTCTCACTGGTGGATGGAGTAGTGGGTAGGGTGCATGTACAGCACCCATGACTCTCCAAGGAGAGGTGTATGAGTTGGGGAACCAGCGCCCCAGAGGAGAGGGGTGCACATAACCATGCATATGTGTGTGTGTACATGCTTAGAAGTTTTGGGGATTAGTCATGGAAGGGTGCTTAGTAATTTCTAGATGTTTATCAACATTTGCGAAGTGTCTTGAATTGTAGTTTATCTGCTGTGTGGCAGATACCGATCCTAAATGTGTAGCTGGATGCTTGCCAGTTAGTTAGGTGCTGCTAAGAATCAGATAAATGTCTCCTATCCCCTCTGACACAGCTGAAGAGCTGAGTTCTCTCCTTGTAGGGCATCCTATATCTGTCCCCCATGCTGTGACCTCACAAACCTTGGAGTCATGGGGTGGGGTTGGAGAAGATGACCTTGCAATCCAGCCTTCAGACCCCAGCAGCACCCAGCTCTTCCCTCATGTCCACAGTGAGAGCAATTAACCTGGTGCTGCCTGAAATTGAGGTACATTTGGCCGGCTCCAGCATAGACGGCCAACTCATTCTGAACCTCAGGACTACCTTGGTGGACCCTGTTGTGAAGGTGGAGCTTGTGGGAAGAGGCTTTCTGAGGTGGCTTGAGGAGGATAATCCTGAACTGGACTACCACAAGAGTACAGCTTGCACCAACCAGGCTCTCTACATCTCCAAATCTAAGAATTTCAACATAGAGGGTAAAACACTGGAACGAGGCACTGGTTAACTGAACAGCATCTTAGCATTGGGCTAGGGAAGGTGAAGTCAGACCTTTTCCAGTGGGGAGGAAGCCTTCCTTTTGCCAATGTCCATGTGCTCTGTTTCTGTTCCATGGCATACTCCTTCTCACTACATTGTATGGCAACCAGGGCTCTGTGATGATCAGTAGTGTTGTACATAAAGGAGTACTTGAGAGTGTGAGCAGTCTCCCATGAGTTGGTGACTGTATCTGTGAACATTTGTTGCACAGAATTCTATCACAACCTGCCTAGCAGCAGGTAGGAAACATTTAGTCACAAGCACATCACATCACTTTGGTCATCTAAAATGTTTGCCTTCAGTGTTCTTGTTGCCTTACGTGTCAGCAAGTATCCACTGGGCTTACGGGCTTTGTTATATTTGCAACTATAGTAAAGACATTATTAGAGTTACTGCTATATCTTTACTGACAGAAGACAAGGAAAATGTGAGCCATATACTGAAAACACCTGCAAAAGTGTGGTTATTTCACTGAATCAGAGAATCACAGAATGGTGGAGGTTGGAAGGGAACTCTGGAGGTCATTTGGTCCAAATCCCCTGCTCAGACAGGGCCACCTAGAGCCAGCTGCCCAGGACTATATCCATATGGCTTTTCAATTTCCCCAAGGAAGGAGACTCCACAACCTCCCTGGGCAACCTGTTTCACAGTGAAAAAGTGTTTCCTGATGTTCAGAGAGAACCTGTTATATTTCAGTTTGTGCCTGTTGCCTCTTGTCTTGTCACTGAAAAGAGCCTGTCCCTATCTTTGTGTCTTCTCTTCAGATATTATACACCCCAACACGCACACACATAAACGCAGAGCTAACTATTAAAATGTACAGATATATTAAAAAGAGTAAAGTCAGTAGGATGTAATGACAACCTAAGACAGTGAATTATTCCAGGGGATGCTTAAAGCAAAGAGAAGCCTCCTAGGAGGTGCACTCCCCTTTCTCAGCTCCTCTTTCTTAGGGTCTGTTGGGAATCCTGAAAATTTATTCTATGGATCATAGGTGGTCACTGCATTAGATTAGTTTAGTACTGAAGTAAGACTGTGCCAATGTGTGGAAACTGCTTTTGAGCTACAACCTCCAGTGGTCAGGCTTCATTTCCTCTCAGACTTGAAGGTTCTACCTCACCCAAAGGTCATTTTCCCCTTACACATGTATTAGCGTCTTAGCCTTGATGTACTGCAGCATGCTGATGCTTCTTGCAGGCTATCAGATGTTACAGCCCTGACAGAAAAGAGGGAGAAAGGCTGAGTGTTGGAAAAATTATTTTTGCTATTATAAGAACACGTACCTGTAAAGCTCCTCTATTCTGGATCTTTTTGGCTAAAGTTCAAATTGGTGTTGCTTAAAGACACACTTGAATCTGTATTCTGGCACCTACACATATATTCCTGTTTTCAAAACAGTTGAGCATCCACATCCGTCAAGACTTGCCAGTGAGGTACAGTTTAATAATAGATTTTTACTACTGTAACTCAGTCTTTTTCCTCCTTTTCCAGCACTGATTACATCTCTGTAGAAGTGCTCGAACAAGTCCAAGAAAGCCATTTTAAAACATGAAAGAAGGTACCAACCTGACCCTTCTTACCCGGGATGCTCTGTTGGCATACAAGGAATGTATGTTTGAACAGATTGCTGCCTGTGTCAGCTTTTAACACTCAGCTGCTAATATGCTCTTGATAGCATGTTACTATCTGGTATTTGATCTTACCACATGCCCTGCTTGGGTCACATCTGATGGCTCTGTAAAAAGTGTATATACATGGATGCAGGTGCCTGCTGACATATTTCTTTTTAACCCTCAGACAAGAAAATCAGTATTGTCTCTCTGTGAGATAAAGACTGCTGGAGGAACTGACTCCTGGCAGTCATTGAATATGACTGGTAACAGCTCTAGGATTATTAGATCCAGAAAAGAAAGATGAGTTTCGGTGCTACCAGGGATAACCATCCTCCTCACCAGCAGAAACCTCCCAGTCAGAGCAAATCAGAGGCAGGAGCTCACAACACTACAGGCGGTTTGAAACTCTTCAAGCACTGCTGTGCACCATCTGCCACACCCCAGGAAATCCCTTGTGTCCTTCATAGAAAGACCACCCCTCAAGTCACTGCTACGAGCAGCCTCTTTGCACTTTCCCCACAGCTGCAGCCATCATCTCCCTTGCTGGAAAACACAAGATGGAACTCTTTTAAAATTAGGTAACACAATAAATTATCTGGAATTGACTTAAATTTTCCAGTGTGACTGAAGTTCCAGGGTTCTGGTGAACATCAAGTGCATGGCATCCCCGGGTGCCTCTGGGGAGCTAACTGGTGGGAGCACACTCTCACTCCTGCAGTTGCTGGGAAACTTTCTACGGTGTGACTAATTCTGGTGTACAGTTTCAGGGGAATAAGGTTTTGGAACCCGTGTGGTGGGCTGGTGCCCCTGTGCAATGGGGCTCGCATCCAGCAGCCGTGGGGAGCCAGGGTAAGCAAGGGCACCTTTGCTTCCAGGGTGAATTCAGGGACACTGTTTAAGGCCACTGTCTTCTTGAGTCCAAGGGCCTGTGCAGAAAGTTAAACACAGCTTAGCAAGTAGGCACGATTCAAGTAAGTCTCCTTAGAAGTGTTGCAAAACAAGGCAGAGAAAGTGGGAGTAAAGCTGTACATAGAATCAAGTAAGTCTCTGCAAGTCTTTTTGGACCACAGGGACTACTTCAGCCCTCCACACAAAGCCAGGCTCTCAGGCCATACCTGCAGCAGGGACTGAGAAGTTTGAACTCCTTCAGTAAAACCCCACGCTGTGCTGGGGCTGCAGAACAGACCAGTCACACCAGGGTCCAGCTGCAGATCATGCCAGGAGGGGAACACTGATTTCTTTCAAGGTTAAATTGCAGATCTGCTCACAGTTCAGAGTCCTTCCTTCTACCAAAACATGAACATTGCCAAAATAACTTAAAGACTATGTTGTATGAGATAAGGCTCTGGGAATATCAGGTTTCTACAAACTTTCAGAATAGAGAACGTGACTTTCTTATATTGCAGTTATCAAAGAGGCTGATGAATTTTAGTTTCCTCCCTTTCGGATTGTTTTAGGCATTTTTTTTCTTCAGAGCTACAACTCTGATTGATTGAAAATGCTGTTATACCATCTGGTAAATCTCCCATGCTGTGAGGAAACAATATCCAGACTCTTCTGCTAACAAGAATATCCAGTTTAGATTATTAAAACTCGAGGCATCATTGAATTCATCTGCAAAAGGATGCAGTCAGCAGGACAAAACCCTAGCAGTTTTACATCCTCTAATACTGTTGTTCAAAGTGAAGTTTTGGCAAAAGCTACTAGAAGGTAGGAAAGCTTAAGTCTGGATGATAAAGCTGCCAGCAGATACATGTGTTTAAAAGAAATAGGTCTTGGATGAAGAAAAGAGCCAAGAGCTGGTCGTATCTGGCCAGAAGAGGCTAAATGTATTCTTGCATAGGTGGGATAGTCTTTCATTACAGGAAATGGGACCTCACCCACACAAAACTGAATTGAATTTAGAGGAAGTGGCACAGAAGCAAAGATATTTGAAGGAACAGATCATAATTTTCCTGTCTCACAGCTGTGCAGAGAAGGTGTCAAATATTTTTTTTTTTGTGAGTGGGGTCTTTTGCACAGGTGAAACAAAAATTTCAGATCATATGTGTTGTAGACAATGATAAAAGAGGAGTGAGAGTTACTCCACCATTTTACTCCCAAAAAGCCTATTAGTGCTTATTTGAAGAGTTAAAAGTCAGTGGCACTCCATTTTGATAAGTGAAAATCCTAAACAGTTTGTGAGGAGCTGCAGGTTTGCTGACCTTGTGTTAAAATGAGGCAGATATTAGCAGTTCTCAAGTCTGCCGACTGGTAGGGGACAATACATCCAGCAGCTGACCTGCAGAGGCAATGCATGGTTCCCCCATACCATGCCTTTATGGCACTTTGGGTGCAAAGTCAGATGGTAAGGACACCTTGGATTCTGAAAGAAACATCAATGTTTCCATAAAGTACAAACATCCTAAATGGTTAAAAGGCTTCTGATAGTAGCGTGTTCTTTGGCTTTCAGATGGCTGGCTGGATTCTGGGGTCCACAGCTTTGACTTCCAATTCAGCTTTCCTTCAGGTATTCCCTCCACATTCACCAGCAAAATTGGCTGCATCTCCTACTGTGTTCAAGGGACTTGCTACAGCCGCCAAATTGTCTTAGCTAAAGAGGAGAGATGTTTACTGTTGCAAGGAACTGCTGGTGACCGCAGAAAACACGTGAAAGACACGGTAAGGGGAAGAACCTATTCGAGTTGGAGGCACACAGGCCTACCCTGTTCTGATCCAGAGCTGTAACTGCTTACTACTGAGTGTCCATGACCTTTCAGCTCTGAGCTTTATCCTTTTAGTGTTCAAAGGACACCTCAGTATTTTCTGCCATCTTTGTCCCAGGGCTTGCACCAAGGTGTTTCTTTTCTGGCATACAAGGTGCGCTGTAAGACTTCAAGAGTGACATGTAGGGAGCGCTTTGAGATCCAGGATGAGGGAAAAGAGAGGTTATTCCCTTGCTTTGGAGTCTAAGCCTTGGGCAAGCATCACCAAAGAGGAGGTGCCTTTTTTACTGAACTCTGCCTATACTGGGACTGTCAGTCAAAGGTCATCAAGACAGCTAGAACAGGATGATTCTAATAATTTTGTGGCCTCCTTCTAAATTTGGGTACAGGTAGCTAAAGGTGACAGTGTTTACACGTGCACACATGAATTCTTTGCACAGATGCTCAGGAGGATTGTGATAATTCAGCCATGTCACATTCAATGCAGTGAGGAAGACTGTCCTCTGGGTTAACGGTGGGGCTTGTGGGGAGGGGTCAGCAGCCTCAGCTGTTGCATTAGGAGTTTATGCATGTGGTGTTTGGCAATCACCCCATATCCAGCAACAAGAGCTCACCATGCTTTGCCTTTCTACTCACCCTCTCCATGCAGGCCCCGGTGGTGGTGGAAGCTAGGAAAGATGTAGTTTACTTCTGCTGCTTCCGTCATGGTTCTGTGATCCTTCGGATTTCCCTGGAGAAAAGTGTATTTTGCCCTGGAGAAACCATTGTCTTCAAGACAGATATTGCCAACAGGACATGCAAATATGTTAGAAAGGTTGTTTTTGCTGTACACTGCATTGTCCTGTATAGTGGCTTCAGCAGCAGGGGAGAACAGCGCTCCTTGGAAGACCGAAGCGAAGTGACAAGGTTGGAGTCCCGAACAGACACGGCCCCCTTTGAAGCTATGAGAGTCACCAGTGCACTGGTTCTGCCAAAACCCATGCCTGTCACCAGCAGTCTCGTGGAAAATAAAATCATGGCATTCAGGTACGAGCTGGTAGGCACCTCTGAGCTTCCTTGTACCACATCCACCATCGTGGGCAGGGTTCCCATCATCATAGCAGTCACACCAGAGCATTTCTCTGTGGAGCAGAACACCATGACTCTGCATGAAAATGAAGGTGACATCTCAAAGGGGGTGAGCCTTCACAGAGATATTTCTGAGACTGACCCAGGAGCAACTGTCAGCAGACCCATGGAATAAAAGATTTTTCTGCAAAATCCACGCACACCAGCTGTATGCTTTCACAGGAGGAGCCTGCTTTGCAGACATGTGCCGCTCATTCCCGAAACAAGAAGACTAAAGCTAGCCAAAGCCCAAGGTCAGGAAGGCACATAAGGGGAGCCCACAATTCTGTTCAACTGACTCCTGATAACTGGAGAAGGAAGAGCAAGAGACTCAGCAGTAGCCTAGGCAAAGAGGGGACACTTTGCAGGCCCAGAGGATGGCTGTGCTCCCGTCCATGGGAAAACAGCTCCATGTGGAGCACACCCTCAGCAAGCTGGCAGGCAGCGTGGTGCTGGAGGGAGGCTGAGACAGCAGGCGGCCATCCTGCCAAGCTGAGGGACCGGGGCAGGCTGGAGAAGCATCCGGTCCCGTGGACGTGATGTGCATGTACGCCACACTGCAACCAGGCGTGCATGTGCACGTCAGTGTGGGTGACCAGAAGGTTTCGGGGTTAGAAGGGTGTATTGGGTTTTTACTGGTGTTTATTAACATTTGCTTAGTGTCTAATAATTCGGTTTATCTGCTGTACTGATGACATCAAACCTGAATGTAAAGTCCACCGATGGCTGGTTAGTTAGGTGCTGTTGAATACATCACTCTCGACTTTGTGACATGAGCAGCCTTGCCCTGTGGCAGGCTGTCGCTGTGGTTTGCCCCCGTGGGTGCCACACAGGGAGGGCCACCCTGCCTGTGCCCCCTGCGGGCACCCGCCACATCCCCAGGCTCTCCGGGGGGCATGTGCAGGGCAGACGGGCTCCATTACCCCTTGGTACAACCTCAATCCCACAGCAGGGCTCTTGGTGGGACTCAGCTACCCGCACAGCCATGGCCTCAACTAACACCTGCATGCAAGCAGCATCTCCCGTCCTGCATCCCTGCATCTCCACATTTAGTTCCACAAGCAGAGCCGTGAGGACTGGGGAAGATAAGCTGAAGATCACTGGGTGCCCCTGATCCACCTTCCTTACCCAGAATGGGTGAAACCACCATTCACCCCTGTGGCTCAGCCCCGCTAAACACCTGCATGCATTTCAGTGCCACCCGCCTCCAGCCCACTCCCTGTGCTTTTGCATCATGGCCTTCTGCTGTGCCATCTTTGGCACCACCCAAAATGCCTTCCTGGCCTCCAGACCAAAACAGCCGTCACCAGCCAGGCTGGCAGCAAGAGCGCCGTGCCGGCACCCCACTCACCCAGCACGGAGGGCCCGTGCCGGGGGACGCTGCATCTCACCCACGCCGAAGTATGCGGACACCAGCATGAGACAGAGGTTTCACAGACGAAATGCACAGGCAAAAGAAACTTCTCTGTCTGGAGCAGCTGAGGGAACTGTTCAGTCTGGAGAAGAGGAGGCTGAGGGGAGACCTCATCGCTCTCTACAACTACCTGAAAGGGGGTCGTGGTGAGGTGGGTGTTGGTCCCTTCTCCCAAGTAACTAGCGATAGGACGAAAGGAAAAGGCCTCAAGTTGCACCAGGGGAGGTTTAGATTGCATATTAGGAAAAATTTCTTTAGTGAGAGGGTGGTGAAACATTGGAACAGGCTGCCCAGGGAGGTGGAGTCACCATCACTGGAAGAGTTCAAAAAACATGTGGACATGGCACTTCAGGACATGGTTTAGTGGGCACGGTAGTGTTGGGTTGACGGTTGGACTTGATGATCTTAAAGGTCTTTTCCAGCCTTAATGATTCTGTGATTCTGTGATCACCAGGCTGGGGCAGAGGCATGGGGTGATGCCACCTCTGCTGGTGCCGGCCACTTGCTGTAGGGAGAGATGTGTCGCCGCTCCTTGACCAGGCCCTCAGCTCGCAGGGAGCCCCAGCTTTTCCCTGCCACCTCTGGAGACTGCTTAGAAATGAGATCACACTGACCAACGCTAATTTACAGCAGCAGCAGGTCTGTTAGTGGTGACTTCCCATGTGCTTTCGGCAGCAAATTGCCGGGCAGCCGCAGCCCAGGGCTTTGCACGACCGCAGCGATCTCCAACGCTTCCCGGGCGCGTGGCCGGCGTGGTGCGGCACGACACGCCGAGGGAGCGCAGCGTTTCGCCCGCTGCCTGCCGTGCCCCATTCCCTGTATGTGCACAGATTGACCTTGATGGGCAAAACACCCCAGACATAGCACGGCACTCATCACGTTCTGCTGCCCGCACGCGCTCTCACCGGGCTAATGTCTCCCCTCACCTTCTCCCTAAAAATAGTATTTATCACACTGACACTGGCAGGGCCCTTTCACATTTCAGATGAGACTGTGTATCAGGATGCTACGTGCAGAATCCCACTACAAATAGATTGATTTTTTACAGGTCTCCCTGTTTCATCATTCAAGCAAAAATTAAAGCACTCACAGTGTCCATGGCAGGAACATGTTACAAGAATATTTTTCACTGCTTGTCTTTTAAGCTTCCAGCATTTCTTCTCAGTGATACTTGATACAGCCGAAGGGAAAACAGAGTGCGGTATAAATTCTGAAGTTGCCATCACACATAAATACTGGTAGTTCTTGTGTTTGCTATGAAAAGGAATTTAACTACTTCCTTTTTGCAAAATATCATTTGCAAAGAAACAATAGGATGTCGACATTTGGGGGAATAAAAGAGCATCCTTGTAACTTCTTTTCACGTTACTTGCTGTGATATGAAGCACCGCTGAAGTCTGTTTCCCAGAATCACCATGTCTGAACCCAGCCTGAGATCAGCAGACTCAGGGAGGCAGCTGAGGAAGAGGTGAGGTATTTCTACCTCTCATTACGGTCACCCTCCAGGCGTTTTCATGGCAGGAGACAACGGTGTCTGATGCTAGCAAAACTGCCTTCTGATTTCAAAAAATTCATTTCTCCAGATGGAATATATGCCGGGGTGAAATATGCCTAATACTCTTCCTGGGATGTTTCGTGCAGTGTCTGCGTGTGTGTGAATTTCATGAAGCAAATAAAACATTTGACAGCAACAAACTAGAAAGGCCAAAATCCTAATAAAACAGACAAGCAGTGGGATGCCTGACCACTGGGAACTTGGGCAAGTGATTTCACATCTTAGCATTTTAATTTTACTTTCTACCTTTGCATGCTTTTTGTATTGCAAATTCTTCAAGCAGTTCCTTTTCAATCTTTATAGTCTGCTTTGTCTAAGGTACTTACATGCTACTGTGGTATAAATAGTAACAAGAGCAATGCGATGAGTGGGTGGTTTGAGTAAAGTACATTGTTCCAGCAGACCACGGAAGACAGAGCAGAGGGGTCTCTAGGAAAGGTCTTGTCAACTGCCTGGTTCACTTCTCCAAAGAGATGGTGGATATTTTTGTGATGTAAAGTTGGAGCGATCAAAACACCAGGAGGGACATTTGGGCTACCTGTGTTTATTCCTTCATGTGCTTTTTGCAAGGCACTAAAATACACCCAAATGAACTAGATGCCTTTGAAGTCTAGTCAGACCACTATTACGCTGTGTCCTTGTAACACTCTTTAGAGGAACAAGGCTAACTGTTCAGGTGCCGTGATCTAAAATAGCCATATAGCTCACATGGACCTGAGCTTGTACCTTTGGATGGCCCTGCATGAATTTCAAGAACCTGTTAATACAGATTGGTTGCTAACTACGGACCCACCGTATTATCTTACATGATATAGGTATTGTCTGGGCTTGAAAACTGACACCCCCCTCTTTAGGTGTAACAACACACATTTCTGTGGTGGTTTCATTAAATACTACACACTAAGCCTACCTGTAGCTGATAGTTTCGACAAATAATTGTATTGGCCCTTGTAGGCAGACTTGCTGTGAAAATGGAGCAGGACCATCTACTTCTGCCACATCTGCTCTAGCTGCTTTTATGTGAATAACAGACTCTTTAGACCTTGGAATCAATATTTTTTTTTATTTCTAAATGAAAGATGCCTGAAGTCTCTGCAGGATCCCATAGGAAAGAGTTTGATCTCTGCCCACTTTGGGATTATTTCTGAGGAGTAGCTTTGCTGTGGAGCTGGTGGGATTTGTGCAGGTCAGAAATGATGGACAGGGTGAAAAGAGAGTAAAGAGATGGCACATATGAAGGGAAAATGGCTATATTGTCTGCTCCAAATTTAATTTTAACCTTGCAAAGATTTTGGAAAACGTCCATTTTTGTATAGTTTCATGAAGCAAAACCAGAAATTTTTCTCTTTCCAGTAACCATAGAAACACAGAAACAATGACTACTGGAAATTATCTGTACTTGTGGGATCAGGTTTGTGCTATCGCTGGATGACACAGAAATTAAGGCACACATGTGTCCTCAGCAACGTTACTTGGCAAGGCTGCCACAGATGACTGGGAACAAACCTCACAGAGGTTCTTAAACATCTGGAACAGCTGGAGCTGCTGCAGTTCTGGAATATATTAATTCTAGTTGCTGTTGGCTCAAGCTATACTCGCTTTCAGCCAATGATTTTATGAACAATTAAATACTGAAAATGTGACCATTTCTGAGAATGTGTTTCGTAGTCCAAAAGACTTAGTAGCCACAAGCACATCAACTCCCTTTATGTCCCCTTAAATCTCTCAGAGAAAAGGTCAGCAAGGCATGCAGTGTCTCAGAAGCAGTCACCATTGACATTCATCTCTATTTAAAGGGAGGGAGAGTCCGTCAATACTTTTTTTAAAAGCTGTTTTTTAATAAGATAGTCTTTTATTACCTAGTTCCTTTGCCTTTGTCTTTCCATCCTTTAAAATTACACAGGCTCTTCAGATAAGATACCTCTTTAAGACACAAATGTGGATTAAATGGTATTGATTTTTTTGATCTTTGTACATTCATCCTCTCCTTTACTGCTTTTCTGCAGAGTTGTCAGTCTCCCTTTCACATTTCTTTAAGTAATCTGCCACCTTCCCAGACAAGAACTTGAACGGGGCCAGCTTTCTTCTGATTGCCTCTGCTAGACTTGCTGGGAGGGAAGGGTTCTTCAGTGGCACTAGGAAAACCTTAATTAAAACAAAACAAACC